TATGTATCAACACACAAGGTACACTACCAGAGAGAGAGAGAGAAGAGAGGATGAACCAGCAAGACTGGACCTAGTATTCACCTTGAGTAATGCAGATATTGAGGAAGTCACGTATGAAAGACCCCTCGGAGCCAGTGACCTCGTGGTTCTGAGCTTTGAATACATAGAGTTACAAGTGGAGAGGGAAGCAGGAAAGGCAGGATGAATGAAGCCAAATTACAAGAGGGGGAACTACAGGCATGAAGAATTTCCTGCATGGGGTTCAGTGGGACAGAGAACTGGCATGTAAGTCTGTAAATGAGATGATGGAATATGTGATAGCAATATTCAAGGAAGCTGAGGAGAGGTTTGAACCCAAGGGTAACAGAAATAATGAGAAAGCCAGGACGAGCCCTTGGTTCAGCCAAAGGTTTAGAGAGGTCAAAAGCAAGTGTGCTAGAGAATGGAAGAAGTATAGAAGGCAAAGGACCCAGGAGAATAAGGAGAGCAGTTGTAGAACCAGAAATGAATATGCACAGGTAAGGGAGGCCCAATGAAAATGACAGCAGCAGAAGCCAAAAACAGTCAAGGACCTTATAACAGGCTGAGGAAGGAAGGAGGAGAGATCACAAGAAATGACCACGAAGTATGTGAGGAGCTCAACATGAGATTCAAAGAAGTGTCCATGGAGGAGACAGAAGGGACTCCAGAAAGACAGAGAGGTGTGGTACACCATCAAGTGTTGGACACAATACATGCAACCAAAGAAGAAGTGAAGAGGCTCCTTAGTGAGCTAGATACCTGAAAGGTGATGGGACCAGATAACATCTCTCCATGGGTCCTGAGAGAGGGAGCAGAGGTTCTATGTGTACCACTAACAACAATCTTCATAACATCTATCGAAACAGGGCGACTACCTGAGGTATGGAAGACAGCAAATGTAGTCCCATTTTTTAAAAAGGGAGACGGACATGAAGCATTAAGCTACAGACCAGTGTCACTGACATGTATAGTATGGAAGGTCATGGAGAAGATTATCAGGAGAAAAGTGGTGGAGTACATTGAAAGGAATGAGCTTATCAGTGACAACCAGCATGGTTTCAGGGACAGGAAATCCTGTGTCACAAACCTACTGGAGTTCTATGACAGGGTGACAGCAGTAAGACAAGAGAGAGAGGGGTGGGTTGATCACATTTTCTTAGACTCTAAGAAGGCGTTTGACACAGTTCCACACAAGAGTTTAGTGCAAAAGCTGGAGGATCAGGCAGAGATAACAGGGAAGGCACTGCAATGGATCAGGGAAAACCTGTTGGGAAGACAACAGAGAGTCATGTTACTTGATTAGGTGTCAGAGTGGGCACCTGTGATGAGCGGGGTTCCACAGGGGTCATTCCTAGGACCAGTGCTGTTTATGGTGTATGTAAATGACATGATGGAAGGAATAGACTCAGAAGTGTCCCTGTTTGCTGATGATGTGAAGTTGATAAGAAGAATTCAATTAGATGAAGACCAGCAGAGCTACAAAGGGATCTGGACAGGCTGCAGGCCTGGTCCAGAAACTTGCCCCTGGAGTTCATCCCCACCAAGTGCAAAGTCATGAAGATTGGGGAAGGGCAAAGAAGACCACAGACAGAGTACAGTCTAGGTGGCCAGAGACTACAAACCTCACTCAAGGAAAAGAATCTTGGGGTGAGTATAACACAGGGCACATCTCCTGAGGAGTACATCAACCAAATAACTGCTGCAGCATACACGTACCTTGCAAACCTAAGAATAGCATTCCAACATCTCAATAAGGAATCGTTCAGGACCCTGTACACTGTGTATGTTAGGCCTATATTGGAGTATGCAGTGCCAGTTTGGAACCCGCACCTAGCCAAGCACATAAGAAAATTAGAGAAAGTGCAGTGGTTTGCAATATTCTCTATAAGGATTAAAATGCTGAGTTTACAGAATTTGATTATTGTGTGGTTTACATGTAGTAAAGTACTAATTACAGAGGGTGCCACTAGAACCCCTAGCATGGCTAGGCATTTCGGGCAGACCTAGATTAATTCTTAAATTTAAAATATTACAAATTATGAGGTAAGTTGGTATTATGGCTAAGTGACTAAACACTAGCTTGTGAGTTTAGCAATGTGAATGGTTTTGTTTTGGCACAATACATAGTTTCAGTATTGGAGTATCACAGGCCAACTTATGACTAGTTAGGATTCATTATTTTAAGATTGAGATTGATATTTCTGTTTATGGTCACATGGGAGAGTGAGTGTATGTGTGAACCACCAGGTGGTATTCGTGTAATTAGTTGACGGGGTGTATCAGGGAGATATAAGACTAGTCCCAGAGCTAAGGGGTATGTCCAGTGTGGAGAGGTTGAGGGAAATCAACCAGACAGCACTGGAGGACAGGAGAGATGGGGGGGATATGATAACGACATATAAAATTCTGAGAGGAATCGACGAGGTGGATAGAGACAAGACATTCCAGGAGATGTAACACAACAACTGGGGGTCACAGTTGGAAGTTGAAGACTTGGATGAATCACAGGGATGTTAGGAAGTATTTCTTTAGTCACCGATTCGCCAGGAAGTAGAATAGTCTGGGAAGTGATGTAGTGGAGGCAGGATCCATACATAACTTTAAGTCGAGGTATGATAAAGCTCATGGAGCAGGAGGAGTGACCTAGTAGCGGCCAGTGAAGAGGCAGGGCCAGGAACTGTGACTTGACCCCTGCAACCACAACTGAGTAAACACACACACACACACACACGTCAAAATTGGAATATGAAGACTCCGATGAGTCAGAGGAATTTTAGGAAGTATTTCTTCCATCATAGAGTTGTCAGGAAGTGGAATAGCCTAGAAAGTGATGTAGTGGAGGCAGGAACCATACATAGTTTTAAAATGAAGTTTGATAAAGCTCATGGAGCAGGGAGAGAGAGGACTTAGTCATTGAAGAGGAGGGGCCAGGAGCTATGACTCGACCCCTGCAACCACAAATAGGTGAGTACACACATGCACATACTTGCACACATGCACTCACACATACAGCCTCTCCTCCCTTAGCGATGTACTTGCTTACCGATGCCTCAGGCTTATGATGGGCTCTCTGACCAGTATTTATACCTAAATAATGTATATTAGAGCTATTTCCTCTATTCTCTTTATTACAATATACAGTACAGTGCTGTATAAACATTTAAAATATACCAGAAATGTTATAAATGCTGCAGAGGTGACATTAAAACAATATCAAAGATGGTTGACACAAACCCACTTCCATTATAGTATGCTCCTCATTTAGCGATGAATTCGTTTACTGACGTGGTTTTAGGAATAGAACTCCATCATTCAGTGAGAAGAGGCTGTACGTGCACACAAAAACACTGTATAAAAAAGTTTCATTGTTGAATGATACTCCACAGCAGGTGAGCCCAGAGCTTAATTGTTGAAAAAGAATTAGTTTTTCCAATGCAAAAAAAAAAAAAAAAAAAAAAAAAAAAAAAAAAAAAAAAGAGTAGGAAGCATACTGAGGTATAAGTAACAGAGAAGTTGAATACTGGTCAAGGAAAGGTAAAACTAGAAAGGCTGTATTCCTTAGTGGTAAATCAGAACCTGAACAATTTTTTTTTTTCGGAAAGCACTACAGTATTGTGATTTTTTATATTGGAAAATGATGATAATCAAACCTTTTAGCTATGTAGCTATTTCTGTAAATGAAATGGGTTTTCACTTCATAGTTAAAAACCTTTTAATGTTTATGTGCTAATTTCAATTAAAATATGATTTAGCTGTTTCAGAATAGTTTTTTACTGGTTAACCCTTTCACTGTCAGGACCTCCGTAATTAAAAGTACTGACATTGTCAAGACTTAAAAAAAAAAAAAAATACAGAATGTGATGGGAAAATTTATGGAATTATGCAGGTGCAAAGTTGGTGGTCTGGGTGCAGTTGATGCATTGGGGATTTTTACCCGTTCTGATTCGTATTGTAAGCTCAATTCAACCAAATTCTTAGTTATTTTACTAGTATGCCTTCCATTCAGTCAATTGAGCACAAGAAACCTCTAATTCATCTATCAGAACTTCTCTATAAAGTGCACAGAATTCTGTATGTTGTCCAGTTTTACACAACATTTAACAAATTAAAATTTAAAAACAGAATCCAAAATGAACACTGTATGCATTCCGGCAACTAAAGCAGCCTATCATCTGTTCATTAATCACACATCCAAGCTTCTGTATTACACTTGCCTCCATTTTGTATCCACATAAAAAAAATCAAAGTTTTACCCTATTTCTCTCATGGGCATCTCAATAATTGAAGTAGATCTAGTAAAAATCCATAAAACAGACTAGGAGATGTAGGGAAAGGCCCTTACCTTTTCTCAGGAAAGTCATTAAAAGTCAAACATTTGTGCTACATTGAACCCTATTTCATACTACATACTTCCAGTCCTGAAACTGACCGAGATCTCGGTTTCAGTAGTATCTTTTCCATTCTATTAATACCAAGAAACAGCCAATAAAACCATCCTAGAAAACACCTCAAAGTCGCTGTTATAAACCAAACACAAAGTCAGAGGTTTGCTTTTCCCATCATGCACCATGTGGGGCAGGACTTTTTATTATACTGTGTACACTCACAACACAGACCCATTCTCTCATGTCTAGGCCAAAATTTAATGCTCACAGCATATCTGAGGGAGTTGTGCTTAAGACCTAGATCTACCTGAAGGACACTGGCATCAGTGACTTAGATCTAATCAAGAGGTAGTGAAAGGGTTAAAAAGTAATTTTAGTATTTTAAGTGTTTAACTAAAAAATTCTTTGTTACTTGTACATACAATATTCATATGTAATGCAGTGTTTATGGTGTGATTAGAGACAATTTCTAGAATGTCTATATGATAACTGTCTTCTCTTGTACACCTGATTGTCTGGTGGTTTTACCTTTGCCCCGTCCCTGCCCTGGCCACGCCACTCTGTTTCTGCCCCCTTGTCTCGCCACACCCCCAGCGAGGAGTATAGGTGAGGGAGAAATACCAGTTGCAGCCTTTAGACTTAACCTGCTTACCAATATCTCCACCTCTCATATGCCTACTGCTCTGTTAATGCCATAAATAGAGTAGAAAATCTCAAGGCTATTATAAGTGTGACTTTATTTACATATTCTCTTTTATAACTAAAAATCTTTGTTAATCGTAAAAGGAAGTAGCACACATGAGCAGAGAAATGTTGGTAGTGGGAAGAGTGAGCTGCAATCCTAGCTTTGGTGTAAGTCAGAGCAAGGTGTTAGGGCACTGGAGCATTCATCACTACTGTAGAATAGTGTATCTTCCTTATAAATACTTTTGCAAATTCAGCATTATACAGCTTTAGAGTTGATCCTAAGTAAAGATTTTGCTAAATGTAAAAAGTATATACTCTTTCTTTTAAATTCTGAATTGGGTTTTTCAATTAGGTTATTTAAAGTATGCTCTACTTCTCTTACATATATTGTATATGTTATAAATGGTATCCAAGAGAGTTACATTTGAGGGTAGACACTTATAAAGGTTGGATATGCAGTGCCAATGAAGAAAACATTTTCCAGGTCAAGTTTCTGTTTTCTTTGTTCAATTATATATTTTCACAAAAAAGTTCCTTAACTTATTAGGGTCATGTAGCTTTTTATTTGAAAAAAAAAAAAAATTTAGGAGGAAATTTCTTGTTTAAATTAGACACCTTGGACTTGTATCTTATTTAGCTCCAATTTCCATTCACATTTGCATGGCAGGCATATGTTGTTGCTGGTACCAGTATCCAAATGTATCATTGAGCATGTACAGTACTCACTCCCTGGTTTATAATTTTATTTTAACTTTTTGATGAAGGTTTCTAGCACATTGAAATTAAATGTTCTTTTTAAATGTGAGAGATTTTACAAAATAGGACTTTTTTTTAATTGCTTTTCAAATCAAATAAAATCAAATCAAGTTTATTCTCTATAAAGATTACAATGTGGGATTTACATATTATAGGATATTGTGTAGTTTAAATATTATATAAAACTAATTACAGAGAGGGCCACTATCACAGCATGACTAGGCATTTGTTAAATATTTGTTTATATCAGTCATAATTTTAGAGCTAGGAAGAAGTTTTGCCTATTAATTATCCATAAAATTTTGTTACCCAAAATACCCTTGGTCCTAACCATTTTGGATATAGAAGTCCCTTTTGTATATTGAAAAATTTCTCTACCAGAATGCACCACAGGATAGTGTCAGGCAGTGTGTTAAGTCCTAAAAATCTCTTTGTTTATAACTTGAGATAATGTTTTTTCACTTGGCTTTGGAAATCTTAGGGTAATATTGTACCTGAGTTGTATATTTATTTGTAATGAAAACAAGATAGTATTGTCTTATAGAAGACCAGTGATACCACTCTTGCTTTTTATATATTGTACTTTATGAACTACCAAACATAGAGGAAGATTCTCTTATCCACAGTAGTGATTAATAAGCATAGCATTATTTTATGTACTTTGATGCTGAAACCATGTACAGCAGCAAGATAAAAAGATTTGCCTCTAATACTGAAATGAAGCATTAGTGTAAGACTGAATGTCCTGATTAAAATTTCTGAGTAGTTGTGTTCAACCATTCAGCATTTATTTATTTTATGGACATTCATGTTTTGTTTTTTTCAAGAAAATACACTTATCATAGGTTTTGGGTTGGTGGTAAAATTTGCTTGCTACTGGCATGGATGATTAGTCTAGTGTAGCTTCTAATGTGTTTCCTTCCTCCTGGCCGCGGGCTGTGTCCACTAGTGGGTAAATAATCCAGGAATTAGTCATACAGTTTTTTCTGTTTTATGGATTTTCTTTTCTGCATCTTCAACTTCAGTGGTTTGATATATTTGGGTACTAATATTGACTGAGTACAGGTGTTGCATAGGTAACCAAATTTTATTTTCTTTATCCTTTAGCAGATCGTAGACTGTATTTTAATTAAATTAGAATGCAGGGTTTCCCAGGCTTACAAAGGCCTGAGTTACAATGATCTGCACTTATGAGTGAGGTTCAAAAGACAATATTGAGAAATAATTGTTTTATGAATGTTGATCTGCAGTTATGAATATGTGTGACATGTAACCATCATTTGTAATTTAGTTTTCTGTAGAATAATAGACTCAGGGTTATAAATGATTTCTTTATAAGTTGAAACACTGTGAATACAACTCATTCATACTTTGAGGACACCTGTGTGATACTTAAGTATTTTCACTGTTCATGCTTGTGTACCGCAAGGTAATCAAACCATTGAAGTTCATTTTATTTGTACTTTTATAACATTTATGCCGTCTACCTGTTCAATAAATATAAGATTTACACCCGAGTACAGTAATTGTCACAGTATCTGTTTCTATGTCAGTTCGTTTGTGTATTGTTCATGAATGGTTCATTAAATGGGTTATCGTTCTTGAAATGCAGTGAGTATGTAGCATAGTAAATAATGTAATCATAATGGGAGGATTGCTGTTGTTAGTGTTGGTACAACATTACCTGTGAAAATTTGTATACAAATATCTTTATACAAGTTACTTCAATATTTTGCAGCAAGTTACACTATCTGTTCACTTTTGTCTTTGAATTGGTTATACTTTATACATTTCATCAGTTTCTGCTCATTAGCTTACTTAGTTCTTCACATTATCATTTCTGTATAATATATACCTCGTTATGTAATACTTTTAGTTAGATCTTGCAATCCTGGCTTATAAAGCACTGATCATTTAGAGCATTTCTTGATATTGATGGTGATTTAATTATAAGTGAATGGGCAGTTTTCATTTAGTTTTTAGTAAGTTTACATAGAAAAATTTTTATATTTACATATAGGTTAGTTTACATAAATGCCCTTTTCTGTCATAAATTTGATGTAGAAGCCTGTTAGCCAAATTGTCTGGCAGCTATAATAGCTTGTGGTCTCTTACAAAGTTGAAATGAACACATCCCCCAGAGTTTGTTCTTCACTCCTACAGCAAATCAGGGCTTCTGCCATAGAGCCTTAAAGGCATTCCATTATTAACTATCCACAATGAGTTCCACAGATACTTAACATTCCATCTGAAATGTAGTGATGCCTCCTGGTTTCAAAACTGCCTTGGAGGTCTCACCAGGCTCTGCTATCTTGCTGTATGCAGACTTATGTCTCAGGAATTACTAGTATGTACAGTACAGTGGACCCCCGCATAACGATTACCTCCGAATGCGACCAATTATGTAAGTGTATTTATGTAAGTGCGTTTGTACGTGTATGTTTGGGGGTCTGAAATGGACTAATCTACTTCACAATATTTCTTATGGGAACAAATTCGGTCAGTACTGGCACCTGAATATACTTCTGGAGTGAAAAAATATCGTTAACCGGGGGTCCACTGTATTTCGTTTATTTAAACGACATCCCAGTGGTGATCTTGACTTGCTTCAGTATCCTAGATTGTAGCTGTCTGAATGTGGCCATCTTCTTAATTCAAGTCTCAACCCATCTCAGTCATTTATCTGTCTGGAATACAATGAGATCTCAGCAGCTTTCAACTCTGTTTTCCAATAGAAAAACATGTCTTTTAAGGATTCAGTTGTAGGACTTCCTACATTGTATTTCTCAAACCACGTAATGGAGTTGATAGAATACTGTTTAGGGTCTCTTCTTTTCGTCCCAACTCTAGAATGTCAGAAACTAAGCTCTTTCTTTATTCCATTCTTAGTAAAAACTATGAATTTAAACTATTCTATATACATTAGGTAAGAGAGATTCTTCTCCCCAAGTTGAAGCTCACCGACAGTAGTAATATGCCACACCATACCGTAGTTCATGCAGTCATTAGGAGGAGAATCATTCAGGCAAACTTCACATATCATAAACAAGGAGAACACCTCTCACAAACGGTCTTACGACCACATTTTTTTTTTTAACACTCCAGCCATTTCCCACCAGAGTATGGTGATTTGACCAACTGAAAAACTTCCTCCATCATTCATTCAGTTAGTCTTGCCATGTGCAAATGTGCATGCTGACATTACAGTTTAGATGTCCCTCCAAACTGCAACATCCCCATGACTGTACCTCCCACCTCCAGAACTCAAGTTCAGCTAACAAATTTTCCCTGAATTCCTTCATAAATGTTACCCTACATACATTTCCAATGGCACATCAGATCATCTGTAAAATATTGATCATCCATGGCAACCTCACACATTCTTGTCTTAAGTCCCATACTTTCCTACATAGTCTTAACATTTGCCTCATGGTACCATCTCTAATTAAACTTAGATCATTCCATTGTATATATATTTTAGTGCATTAATAAGTAAAAAAAAACATTTGTTTATATGCTGTATATTGTCTTTTTAGCTGTAATTTGGTTGAGTGTTTATCAACTTTGCTTGGTTATTTAAGCCAGATTGTGTGTTCATTTTTGCTGCAATTCTCTCATCAAGCTGAAGTGAATGCATGGTACCTTGCTCTATGATAAATAAAAACATCCTCACCTGCAAGGAAAGGAGTAATTTAGACTCAGGCCCTGATAGACATGACCCTGATAGAAGTGACCAGTGTAGTGAATACCTTTGCAAATGATTCTTATCAGATGTTTCTTGGCTTGGGATAAATGTATATGTCTTAATTTGTACTGTTACCTTATGCCACCCTATTTGATATCTACTTTTATATTCTTTGCTTCATTACTTTGAACTTGTCTTCTGTATTTACTCCTGTAAAAACTTTCATGCATATCTATAGCCCTTTGATAGTTCTCTGAAAATAATAATTTGGTACAGCTTTACTACCATCATTGAGCCCAGACATTTTTCGAACCAATTTAGCAGCCAGAATCTGTCTTACTTAATTCTTAAGTAATTATAAACAGATAGAGAGAAGGATTAGTCTGAATAAGTTTATATGATTTTAAGAAGGGGGTCGCCAAATATTCCATTTTGTGTTGCCTCTGAAGAACTGGAGAAAAGCAAAATTTGCCTTTTGTGAACATCGAAGACAATTTTTTCTTTTAAATATATTCTGCTTTAAACCTGGTGTTTAGTACATTGATAAAATTGTAATAAATGATTAAAACTTTTTCAAGAAATGCTTAAGCCTCAAAGCCACTATCTAGAATTCACTAGTCCAGATGCTAACCACTAGACTGGCCAGGCTAAAATAAGAAATGCAGCTTTTACCCAGTTCATGTTAGAAAGTACCCAAACAGTGACACTGCTGCATTTTAATTTATTTATTTTGATCAGAGTAACAAGCTAGTAAATTCTAGATCATGGGTTCAAACCTTGTCTGTTTCCTAAAAAAAATTTGATCATTAATTATGATTTTTCCAATTCTTTTAAGAGTAATACTATGAAACTATTGTGCCCTCTAGCATAGCCTGAAAAGGTTACGTTTCTTATTGTAGTCAATATGATCTGGTGGTTAAGGTGATGGATAAGTGAATTTTAGACTGCAGGTTTGAGGCATACCCATTCCCTGAATAAGAAAAAAATATAAATTTTTTCCAACTTTAATTAGTAACTGCATCTGTCTTTTGAAAAAAGTCATGGTCTATATCCTTTATTTTGTGTAGGATAAGTAAATGTGTTTTGTACTGTATTATACTAATAACTTGACTACTATATTTAGAGAGACTGGACAAAATGTGATTGAGGTATTGACCAGTTATCATGTACTGTATCTGTTTATACAGTTAATATCCATAACACAATTTAATTTTTACCCTTTATGCTTAGTACTATTTAACATTTGAAGAAACATGCATGCTTCCTGGAAGTTTTCAAATTAGTGCATATTATTGCATGACTTTGTTGGGTAATGACATTATTAACACTAGTATAGCTGTTTTATGAATTGTTGTTAGATATCTTGCATCAATAATGTAGGAACATTAATACGGAGAATCTTGTCATGATAAAATTGCATTGTGAATCTTGAAGTTTTAGTTACTTTCATTCCAACTTCTTTATTAGCAATCATCAGAATGTGTTTTATTACATTTTCATTAAATGACAATTTTTCCATAACTGTAGTTCTATAAAGTAGTCTTACTTAACAAACCTCATTTATTTTTTCTTGAAATAATATGTAAGATTTGTATGAAGTAAATATTACATAATTTTTATTTATTTTGTTCAAAATGAAACCTACAGAACTGTAAATAGTAATCATGACTACTATCTTTTTCAGTAGATTTTCAATTCTCTTAGAAAGCATTCACATTACTGCTTGAATGATCTAGGTAACACAACATCAGTAAAAAGTTTCCATCTAAAGCTGTCTTTTTCACTCCTGTAATGCAGATGGAACCAGCTTGATGTTTTCATTGTCATCTTGTCTGTGGTTGGCATTGTGCTGGAAGAAATGAAGAATGACATCATCCCCATCAATCCTACGATCATAAGAGTCATGCGAGTGCTTAGGATTGCTCGAGGTAAGAGGTGTTTCTTCATAAATAAGTACACCCCAAAGTGGAGTCTATAGATCTAATCTCATAAATATGTTGATGCACTAGATACTAAGTCTGTAATTTATTGTCATTATGTAATACAATAGTGCAGTAGTAGTAAGTGATCTGCATAGCAGACTTGAAGAAAGATTGAAATTCTTAAACTACCTGCTCTTCTTACACTTGCATACATTCTCCTTTTTGCCTCCATGGATAATGTTCTTTGTTTCTGCAAATGCATCACTGTACCACCCACCTTTTCTTTTCTTCACCAATTCTGTGATTTACTTCATATTTCATATACCTATCCACTGACAAGTCCTCTCCCAGATATCTGAATGCAGTCACTCCCTCTGTACTCCCTCCTTCCAATCAGATATCCAATCTTTCATTACCTAACTCATTGTTACCTTCATCAGCTTGCTCCTTTCAAGTTGAAGAGGGATATATAATAGCCTAGATTACACTTTTGGAGTTGCTACAAATTGTGTAGAATTGTACAGTTGCCAACTACTATTGTATTAGTTAATGTTAGGACTTAATAAATTTCACTCAGCTCAGCTATGAATGCAGAATGTTCATTAGTTTCTATTTTAATTTAAGATAAAGACAACAAATCCACAATGCAGATGTAACAGAGGGTTTGTTGTTGAGGATTTCTAATCCATTTATATAGATTTCAGTTGTATTGGGGTGAATTTTCCACATTGTAGTTGTAAAAGTAGAAATTTTGCTTCATTTGGTGTTTTGGGAATATCGTTCTTAAGGTATATTATTGCATTCAGTGTCACATAATTCCATGGGAAAAGAGACAGAACTGCTAGCTGGTTTTGGAAGATGCTTAGGTAGGAGTGAGATCCTGTTTATGAGTGCAATGTAAATCTGGTGGGTTTATTTGGAATAGTGATGAGAGTTAGGATGATATAGATGTGTTGAATGAGCAGATATGTAGGAAGTTGACACACATTGTCTCTTCATGTAGCTAGGCTTGTGAGTACTGTTTCTCCTTAGAGACCTTAAACAATGCATGTAACCCCCTGCAAATGATTTGCATGGCAGTGTTTTGTATTATATACAGTCATTACAATTTTGTAGGTAGTAGGTTGGTAGACAGCAACCACCCAGGGAGGTACTACCGTTCTGCCAAGTGAGTGTAAAATGAAAGCCTGTAATTGTTTTACATGATGGTAGGATTGCTGGTGTCTTTTGTCTGTCTCATAAATATGCAAGATTTCAGGTACATCTTGCTACTTCTACTTACACTTAGGCCACACTACACGTTTATTTATACACACTCATCTGAGTTTTCTTTGATTTTATCTTAATAGTTTTTGTTCAATTATTTTAAATTTATACCCCCCCAAGGGAAGTGGAAAAAAAAATCTTTCCTCCGTAAGCCATGCGGGGGGGTTTTTGTAAAAAGTAAAACAAAAAATTCCCGGAACAATGGGCTAAAAAACCCCCCTTTTCCTGAAATAATTACTAAAAAGAATAAAAAATTTGTCAAATGGAAAGCCCTAAAAAAATGTCCCCCTTTTGGGATTTTTGGTGCGAATGATAAAAGAGATGTTTTGGGATGTTATGAATGAAAGAAGCAAATGTCCGTTTAAAACCCTTTCGGGGTTTTTGGGCCCGTCTAGTAGGGCTTACGAGCCAGGGTTTTGACGTACTTACCCAAAATTTTTTTTTTCCCTGGGCCCCTCAAATCTAATGAGAGAAAGCGGTGGGCCCCAACATTTTGAAAGAAGGGTCTTTTTGGTCAATGGGGTGCAGTAAAAAAAAAAATCCTGCAGCACACGGCATAATGAGAAAAAAAAAAACTGACCATGTTTTTGGAAATTAAAAACAGCGACTTGCACTGAAAATTTTCATAGGGGTAATATTGTTTTTTTCCCTATTTTTTCTGGTTTTAAAATTTTATAAAGGGAAGACTTTATTACAGAAATTAAAAATGATTTTGACGGGTTTTTAAACAAAGAAAAGTCCCTTTTTTTTGAAATTGGGGGTCAAAGTAGCAGAAATTTTTTAAATTTTTTTTACCAATTTCAAAAGTAAAAAAATAATGAATGCGCCCCAATACACGTCAACGGGGGAGTCAAATATTCTTCACAATGTGCTGAATTATTTTTTTACCCTTTTTTACATCAATGCAGTAGTCTGCATAAAATAAATCTTTTTATTTTTTTTTTGTGAAAATAAAAATTCAAAAATAAAACAAAAAATGTTTAAAAGGGGCATGGGGGAAAATGACAATGGACAGAGGAAAAAATATTTTTGTGCCCGGGAAAGTCTTTCTTGTTTATTTTTGGACCCCCCGTTCGTAAAAGGGCATCTTTTGAAAAAATTTTGTGAAAAAAGGGGAAAATTCTAAATTCTAAACCCCGTAATTTGGGTATTTTAAATCGTAAATGGGTGGTTTCTTGTACTCATTTGAAAAAAAAAAATGGGGGTTCTTAAACGAAATAGTTTTTTTGATTTTTTTTCGACAATACACGAAAGGCCGAAAATTTGGGGGCAAAATGGGCCCAAAAACGCCGATCGTAAAAAATCGTCGAGGGCCGCTAAAAATTTGCAAGAGCATAATTCCGTAAGTTTTCCACAAATTTTCCCCTTTTGGTGTCATTTTGATCGGAAAAAAAATTTTTCTAAACTACCTGTTTTTTTTCCCCTCTCACTGGGGCCCGTTTCAGGGTGGAGGGTTTCCCCCCCCCCATGCTGTGCCTTCCTCCCTTTCCCCCCCAGGTTTTTGCTTCCCTTTATCCCCTCTCACACTTCCCAGTTTCCCCCCCACCCTTTTAAACCCCCCCACTTTGGAAAAGTCCCCTTATGGGTTCCCCAAACTTTACTCACCCTCCTCCTTCCATCTCCCAAAATTGTTCCCATACGAGTCTTTTAATTTCCCAAACAGTTTAAGGGTACCCTGAATATATTGCAAAAGACCAAACTAATTTACTGGGCACTGATCCACCCCCCGTTCCTTCTCTTTTCCCTCCTACATCCCTTTCAACTCCCCTTTTTTCGCTTCTTGAAATTTTTCCGGGTTTCCGGGTGCTTGGAATTTTCTAACCCCTCAAATCTGGGAGGGGACCCTTAACCCTTTGGGTTTTTTGGTACAGGCCGCCATCACAAATCCGGCAATCATTATTCGGGTTCCCCCTTTATTTTTTTTGGCACAATTTTGGGTGCATAATTTCAAATTTCCCGGGTTTGCCACCAAACCCAACCTGCGGCCCGTTTACCTGGATTTACCTGGGGAGAAATTCCGGGGGGCAAAAAGCCCCCGCGGCCCGGTCTGAGACCAGGCCTCCTGGGGGATCAAGCCTGATCAACCAGGCGTTGCCTGGCTGCACCCCAAAACCCAAAATACGAGCCACAGCCCGGCCCGATCCGGAACTGGGTTTAGGGGCTTTTCCATGCCAGTTTGAAGAAAGCCAGGGGGGCTGTTGGGAATCCCCCCCTTAAAGTTGCTGGGAGGCATTTTTAAAAATTTTTTCGGGGCCCCCGACACTTATTGGGAAAGGTCTCCCTTTAAAAGTGCTAAGTGACCCCCGCTTTTTTTATTGGGGGGTGGTGCATCGTCTGCCAAGTCTTTTGCTTTCGTAGTGGGTTATTTTTGTGTTCAATTCGGTTTCTAGTCCCCCCCTAGGGGTTTTTCCCCGGGTATATAAACAGTATCCCCCCCGCGTTCCCGGGAAAAAACAGGGTTTTGGAACCTCAAGCCTCCCCAAAAAATTTAGGTTTTATCTCCTTATGCGCGCCGTTTAAAGTTCCCCTGTACATTTTTTAGGGCGGCAATTTTACCTGCCCTTTAAAAAGGGGCTGTTAGTGGGGCAGCAAATTTTTTCCAGCCTTATAGAACAAGTGACCTGAAAGTGTCCCCATGGGGTTGGCCCCCCTAGTTTTTTAAGGTTCTCCTTTTCCCCTCCGTCATTTTTTTAGCAGATGCGATTTTATACAATGTTATGGTCCTTGAAGGTGAAACCTCCGACATGACCAAATCCCCGGCTTTGATGTTGGTGTTTCGCCTTTTTGTGGCCAGAATTTTTTTGTACTCTGAGAAGATTTAATTTTTCCCCTGTTTTTTCCCTATCTGAGTAAAATTTAAATTTCTCATCGTTGAACTTTATATTGTTTTTTTGCACCCACGAAAAATTTTGGGAAAAGTCTGCCTGGGGCTTTGCAGTTCCTGCAATTTGGAAGAAAACTGTCATGCAGATTCGGGTGTCATCGTTTTTGGGGCTACTTGCTGCATAAGCAATTTCCCGTTTCTTTTTCTCCATTTATTTTTTAAACCTGCTTTCTTTTTGCCCAAACCATGGTTCCAATGATAAAAAAAAATGCCTTTTTATTAAATAAAGACCTACAAAGTACATTATCCTTTAAAAATAAGGGGCTTTTAAACCACTGTCATTTGCCATACTCGTCCATAAGCAGGAAAAATATGCTTTATATTAAAACTAATATCAAAACTACAGCTTATTTGCCTATCACCAAATTTACTAATATGACCTAAGAACAATGGGAAATAACAAAAAACAGTTAAAAAACTCCAGAAAGAATAATATTTGGGATAACACCAAGCAGTTTTGACAGTTAGAAAGGGGATGGTAAACAAATAACCCCTTCCCCCTATCCTTGTCCCCGGGGGTTAAGAAACGGGTATAACAGGGCTTTAAAAAAAGAAAAACGCTCGTAACTCCCCCATAACAAAAAACAAAAAAGTTATTTTCTCTCTATAATTATCACACATAGCAGCATATGTGGTAGAGAACCTAGGATAACTCCAAAAAAAAGTCAACGTGCTTATTTTTAGTACCTGGCTTGGGTTAGCCATATATGATTTTTTGGTAAATATTGATTCCAGCCAGGGTAGAAACATTAGTTTCTTTACACCTGTTGTCTATGTTTACTCATCAGTAAATGGGTACCTGGTGTTATTCGACTAGTGTGGTGTTTATCCTGGACACTGACCTAATTTTTCTTGA